TTTTTTTTTTTTTTTTTTTTTTTTTTTTTTTTTTTTTGGCTGGCTGGCTGGTTATTTTAGTGTACTTTTCTTTTAACTGTGTTTTGGTTTCTGGGTTAAGATGGTAAAAAAACTGGTGATGTTTCATCCACTTTTATTCTCCCACTGAATAATTCATGATGGACTGGAGAATCTCAATGATTGGTTCACCATACTCTGGCAGAAATTCCTACTGACTGCCATACCTTGAGTAAGAAATTCTTGGTAACCAATGCAGACTCAGACCTCTTGAAAAACGAAAAGCAGGCCAAGCTGGATAAAAGCCAAAATTACTGTTTGCCAAATTACACTGTTGGGTTTCGTGGAACAGCTAGGACTCTCATATACCTAAAGATAGTGAAAAGATGTATAGAGGTTACTGAGGTTGGAAATATATGTTGAGTTTAATCTAACACTGTAATTGACAGTGGCCTTTCAATGAAGATTTAAGGAATTTGGAATCTATTCTGCAGGCAGAAGGGAAAGTATTGATGATTTTGAGCAGTGACAATAGGATCAGATGCATGTTTTAAAAGATCTAGAAGTGTAAAGAGTATATGTATATTAGGGCTGGAGTAGCTGGAGGCTGGGCGACAAACTTATTGCAAGGCTCCACATAAAATCATATGGACCTCAGTGAATCCTATCCTCAGGTAAATACTAATAATTAAAAGGGCTTCACCATTTGTAGAGCTTTCAGATGATTTATCCTTAATATTATTATCCTCACATCTGCTGATGAGCAAGCCTCTCAGGATCTTCTGCTCCAGTCTTGTGATGGTAGCATGTTCCTGCCTCTGGTGGTACTAAACCCTGGGCAATCATCTCTGCTAGGAACAGCTGTTCGTGGTGACTGCTGTGAAACCAACAGGATGGCCTCTTTTCTATTTAGTCCTAAGAGTGGGCATAAAGTAAGCATTTGTAAGATTTTACTGAAACTTCTGGAGTATAAAAAGGAAAATGCTACACTGAATATAATTACAACTATTCAGGCACAGGCCCACCCCAGAGTCTCTTACCAAGTTAACTCTCCTGTTTGTCTTTCTTTTCTGCCTTCACGTGGCTTCAGACAGCTCACCTTCCAACCACTGGAAGTGTTTACAGCATCTCCACATCTCTCCACAAGGTGGAGTTCAAGGCCAAATTTTTCACTAGCCCCAGATACTCGAAGGAGTATTTTTTTCTTCATTTGTATTCAATGTAAGGCCTGCCTCCTAGGTCTTTATTTCCTATTCACACATTAAATCTGACAGTGGCAACGTATTCCCTGTGGAGGAAATTCTGTCTAGGCCTAAAGCAGTGTGGCCTAGCTTTATGGTTTAATAAAGACAATCACACAATATCCAATATATTTCCTACATCACATGTAGGCCATTAACAGTCTGATCAAGACTGGGCTATGTCAAATCGAACACAGCTTCTAGACATCAAGTGATTATAAACTCTGGAGGTTCAGTCTCACTCATAGCACCTGCCTTAGCCTGTTTGCTGTTGCTTATAACAAAATACCTGAAAATTTATTTTTTTTTTTAATAACTTCCTACAGCTCTGGAGTCTGGGAAGTTGAAGATTGAGGGGTCACATCTGGTGAGGGCCTTCTTGATGGTAGAAACTCTGCAGTCCTGAGGTAGCACAGGGTATCACATGGAAGGGGGCTAAGTATGCTAACATGGTAGCTTAGGTCTCTCTTTCGCTTCTTATAAAGCCACCATTTCTACTTCCATGATAACCCATCAACAGATTAATCCATTCACAAGGCCAGAACCCTCTGATTCAATCACCGTACCTCTGAAAGGCCATACCTATGAATACTACCACATAGGAGATCAAGTTTCAACATAAGTTTTGGAGGAAATATTCAAACCATAGCAGTTTCTGTGTATTTGTGTGCATGCATGCACACATGTGTGTAGAGACACAGAGAGAGGACTAGAGAGGCAGAGATACCTATACATATGTACACCTGTACATTAAATGAAATTATGTACACATATACAACGTTATAAAAATGGAACCATAGTATATATCCTCCTTTATAAATTTCTCCACTTAATAGAACGTTAACATGTTTGTAGGTTCTTTTATGCAGAGTTACTTCTTTTATAGTATTCCATTGTGTGAATAACGCATAATTTATTCAGTAAATCCTTGTTGATACATATTGGGACAACTTTCAAAATTTGGTTATTATGAACAATGCAACCAAGAACATTGTCATACATGTATTGTTATACCCAGGAGAGTTAGAAAGGAAGTGCCACACTCTGAGTTCCAATTGAGAGTCCTTTATTACCGGTGACCGAGAGTCAGCTACTGCTCAAAATCTCTCCTTCCCTTCTGATTTCCTTTTATACCTAACCTAGAAGAGAGGGGAGAGGGAGTCTAGCTGAAGTGGAATTTTACAGAAGCAGAACAAGCAAGTTAGTAGGAGGAAGCTGGTAACCAGGAGGCAGGAGGTTCCCATAGTTGCTGGTTACTAAGACTATTTCCATACAATCATCAAGGAGGGTTGCAGGGGGGACTTTCCATACAATCAATCACCAAGGGGGGGAGTTTCACAATAGCAGGCAGACTTGCCAAGCAGGATATGGTTATAGCAGTTACAGGTACTGAGAACAGGTGACCCCAACCTCAGCTGTTCAAGGCTCTGAAGTAGACCCAGTAATGAACCTGAGGGGGCCATGGCAGGGAGGGCGAAGCTAAGCTGGAGCTTGTCAGGCTTATTTCTAAGGTGAAGTCAGGTTACTTCATTTCAATATATTGTGTACTTATACATGAATTTTAATAGGATGAGCTGTAAATATAAATATTTATTTCTTATCTTTCCAGGTAAAATATTGTTAGGTACCTCCTTTGGAGTTCTAGACTCAGGATGAGATTACAGAAGATATGCTCAACATCCTCCTTTGACCTGGTCCCAGTTTCACTATATTTGATAGATGCTTTACAGTCTCTGGTAAGGAGGTGTGCAATTCTCTGATTTTATTATAGTTTTTAGGGAATTTTATTTTGTACATTTCAACCAAAAAAATTACATAAATAACAGCTCCACTGAAAGCTGTATTTTAAATGAACAAATATTGGTACTTTGTGAACACATGTGGTGCTTTTTTTTTTCTCTAATTATTGGCTATCAATCTTATTTTACTAAATATATACTGACAAATTTATTTTGGTCCATTTATTTGAGTTCAAAGACTATTTCATACTCTTCCCAGTGAAACAGTCATGGGCCATTGCTATCTTCAAAAGAACTAAATATATAAGTAGCAGCTCTCCTCAAAAAAGATGACAAAGTCTTCTTTTCCCTTTAGAACATAAATTTCAGTGGCTGGTAAAACTATTTTAGCAACAATATGCTCACTTCTTCTATGATATGTTTTTCTTCTCTACTAAGTTCAAAGTTTCTCTCAGTAACCATAGCAACTCAAAATTGTTTCTCTACCTTACTGAAGTTGCCCTCTTCCACTGATCATTAGGACATTAACTTTTAGAATCATTTGTTTTTGCCTCTTGTTTTGAAGGCAGCTTTTTAATTTCCTCAAATAATTGCAATGGAACAAAAAATTGTTCTCTTTTTTACATATGTGCACTTTTATAAGAGATGTAATGTTTGTAAATAAAAGTTTTAATTTATCAAAAGCATGTCTCTAAAAATGTGAGGGTTATAAAGATTAATAATAGTAGAAATATCTGTGTACCAGCCACTCAGAATAATTCTAGTTAGATATAGTTATTGTAAGGACAAAAAAGAAAATGGATCTAAAAAGGTAAATAAGTGAGATCATTGCATAGTTCTTTACAGTTTAACAAGAGTTGTTTAGATAGGACCTGCTCCACACTTATTTGATTCTCCGTTTTCCACTGAATTTCCTTTCCAAACAATGTACAGTGTTTCCAATATCTATCAAAATTTCATAAAAGCTATGATTCCCAACTTATACAAACTGTCCATCAAGATGTTTTCTCCCAAACATTGCATTCTTGAACCAAGCCATTAAAGACTTGGACTGTGACACAGTTTTCATTCTGAGAACCATACACATCTGTGTAATTACCATCACTCCCATTTTCTACCCTATACAGGGAATCCCTATGGCCTTAGGCTTACACACACAACTGGGAGCTATAAGGACCAGAAAAAGTAAAAAGTGATCCATTCTGTAAAGACCCTTCATTGCCTACCAAAGAAGAAACAATTCCACAGGAAATGGCTTAGACAGAGTCATCCCAAACCCAAGCCACCTCTACTGGCTGGAAATCATCTGTGGAGTGCCAACCCACACTAACCAGCCAGGCATACCCAGCGCTTTCACTCTCATAAAAGACTAAACTACTGTAAACCCAAAATAAAATTATGAACCCCCCACCTCCACAAACCATCTGAATGGACATCTTCCTCTGCCAGGGCACTGTAAAATTTAACCTGAAAGACTGGTTCAGGATATGACAGAAAGTTCGGGGGGGTGGTCAGACCTGCCTCATTATGTCCTCCAACATTAACATGAGCACAGACCTTAAGTGTGATAAGAAACATAATGTATTCTCTCTGAAGCCTTCTACCTGGAGGCCCCATCAGGATGATGAAACTTTGGTGTCTACAACCTCGTACTATAATCCAGACATTGCATTTTATTGATAATAACTCTTTCAACCAGTTGTCAATCAGAAAATTTTTAAATCTGCCTATAAATTGGAAGTACCCCCCCTTCCAGTTGTCCCGTCTTTCTGGACCGAATCATTATGTTCTCAGGATATCCTGAGGGCTGTGTCACAGGCCATAGTCACTCATATTTATCTCAGAATAAATCTTTTCAAATATTTTACAGAGGTTGACTCTTTCTCCACACTATGCCCCTATCCTCTGTCCCCAGTCACCACAAAAACACAACCCCCAGCTCCACTTACACCCTTATCCCTCACCCATCCACTCAACAAACCCCGCCCACACCTTCACACACCATTCCACTCTCATCTCCCAAACTCAAGAACAAACCAATCAACCCCCACACCCACCCGCTGCACACATTGCAGCTCAGATAATCAGACGGTGTCTCTCTGAGGGTCCTATCAGCCAGCCTTTTTCCCTACCTGGGGGATTTACCACACAATAGAGCCCAGTATACAAGTTGAAAGCCAATTTCTCCTGGGCCAGTACCAGCCTGAAAAAAGGGAGGGGCCAGCCTAAGGGCCTCATCTGCTAGGGAAGGTTCCCAGCTATTCCCACTTGGAAAGAAGCTGGGAGAGATCAAAATTCGAGCTGATTTGTTAGTTCTCACTCTTCTGCCCCTATCCGGACCTCCGCCCTGTTGCTTTGTAGGGCAAGTTTTTGTTTGTTTGTTTTCCTTGTCAGCTGCCTAGAAACCCTGCCTGCTGCCTAGACAGAAAAGTTTATCAAGACAGGGGAAATGCAATGGAGAAAGAGTAATTCACACAGAAAGGCTGTGTGGAACACTGGAGTTTTATTATTACTCAAATCAGTCTTTCCAAGCCTTCCCTAGGATCAGAGCTTTTAAGGATAATTTGGTGGGGAGTGCTGATTGGTCGGATTGGAAATGAACTCATGGGGGGTCAAAGTGAGTTTCTCTTGATGCCTTCTATTCCTGAGTGATCACAGATCTGGTTGAGCCAGATTACCGGTCTGGGTGGGGTCAGTTGGTGCCTAGAGTGCAGGGTCTAGAAAATATCTCAAACACTGATGTTAGGCTTTGCAATAGTGATGTTATTCCAAGAAGAAATTTGGGGAGGCTCACACTCTTGCATCCAGAGACTTCATGGCCCCAAGCCATAATTTCTAATCTTATAGCTGATTTGTTAGTCCTACAAAGGCAGACTCAGACTGGTCCCCAGGCGAGAAGGGGTGATTTGTTTTGTTTTGCTTTCTCCTTTGGGAAAGGGCAATTAATGGTTTTTAAAAGTTAAACTATAAACTAAATTCCTTCCCAAGGTTGGTTTGGCCTATGCCCAGGAATGAACAAGGACAGCTTATAGGTTAGAAGCAAGATGGAGTGAGAGTGAGTTAGGTCTGATCTCTTTAAATGTCATAATTTCCTCAGTTACAGTTTTTGCAAAGGTGGCTTCAGCCTTGCTGAGACAAAGCCTGTGATTGTTTTCAAGGTTACCTGACTTACATGGCATTTTTAAACTGACCTAGGCCTGTTTTTCTCTTTCTTCTCTTGTCCTAGTAGTTGTATAGGACCAGACTGTGATAACTTGCATTTGCTTTTGTCTTTATCCATTGTCCTGTCTGCTTTTGTGATTAGGATATAATAGTTAGAAGCGTTCCTTCACATTTCTCCAATTGGCTCTGCTGACTTTTCATATAAAATCAGTATTTGCTCTGCCAGTGCATCTGAAAAATCCATCCGTATATTCATGTATCCACTGTGGTGGCACCGTCCGAAAAAGCTTTGACTATTAATATATTGGTATGATACTAATTGATATGATACTAATAATTGGCGGTGTCATAAAATGGAAGAAAAGAGAAAAAGCAATGTGTGAATTCAAATTTTCTAGGTGAGACTGCACCTCAGAAGGTCTCTGACCTATAGGACACTCTTAAAATGCTTCCCTCTTGAATAAAAAAAAACACTTTTTCAGCCTGGCAACTAAAAGCCTTCATGACCTGGGTCCTTTTCCTTTTCCACCTCTTCTATTTATTACTTCTGCAGCATTTACTACAGTTTCCTGCTCGTTTTGCTTCAGGCCACGCCCCTCAACATACCAAGTGTTTCAGGTCTTCCTTTTGTATTTATAGTTTCTCCTACCTGGAATTCACTTTCACCATCTGCTGGGTAAAATCATGCTGATTATTCTAAACTTTCATAACTTCTCTCTGGAGCCTTTCCTTGAAGCTGTACTTAGATAAGTTATACCCCTTTTTTCATTCACCTACCCTCTGAGAACCCCACATATCTGAGACAGGTCTCAGTTAATTTAGAAAGTTTATTTTGCCAAGGTTGAGGACTGGTGCCCATGACACAGCCTCAGGAGGTCCTTAAGACATGTGCCCAAGGTGGTCAGAACAAAGTTTGGTTGTATACATTTTAGGGAGACATGAGACATTGATCGACATATTTAAGATGAACTTTGGTTTGGTCTGAAAAGGCAGCATAACTAGAAGCAGTGGCAGGATGAATTGAAGTGGGGAGGGGACTTCCAGGTGATAGGTAGATAAGAGACAGATGGTAGCATTCTTTTGAGTTTCTGATTAGCCTCTCTAAAGGAGGCAATCAGATATGCATTTATCTCAGTGAGCAGAGGGGTGACTTTGAATAGAATGGGAGACAGGTATGCTCTAAGCAGTTCCTAGTTTGACTTTTCCATTTAGCTTAGTGATTTAGGGGCCCCAAGATTTATTTTCCTTTCATGCCTCCATCCCTCTGTTACAGTATTTACTACTGGCAGGGTGTGTGGGTGTGTGTGTGTGTGTGTGTGTGTGTGTGTGTGTATTATACACATAACATAAATCTTCATTTACTGTCACCTCTAGGTCCTTTGAAACTGTGACTTTAAGTGAAATGTTGTGTGAGGAAACAAATTTTACCATAGGGTAATTGATATAAATAACTATTCATTTCCTATGGCATATTTCTGGTCAAAAACCTCACCAGACTTCTAAATGAAGACCCCAAACACATCTAATATTAACATTGAGATAAACATAAAGTAACAAGTAAGATAATTATTTACCCAATATTTGGTGAATCAATGAATGATGGTGGTCATAGTGGTCATGGGTTAAATCAGGGAATAAATATTTGCAAAGGGAAAACTGTAATGAATACTTTCTATTGTCAGAGGTGTGTGAACCAGAGTGAATCCATCTTTAATAGCAGCTAGGTAAAATGAGGCTGAGACTTACTAGGCTGCATTCCTAGATGGTTAAGGCATTCCAAGCCACAGGATGAGATAGGAGGTCAGCACAAGATACAGGCCATACAGATCTTGCTGTTAAAACAGGTTGCAGTAAAGAAGCCATCTAAAACCCACCAAAGCCAAGATGGCAACAAGAGTGACGTCTCTGGTCACCCTCACTGCTATACTCCCACCAGCACCATGACAGTTTACAAATGCCATGGCAATGATAGGAAGTTACCCTATATGGTCTAAAAAGGGGAGGCATGAATAATCCACCCCTTATTTAGCATATAATCAAGAAATAACAATAAAAATGGGCAACAGGCAGCCCTCTGGGATGCTCTGTCTATGGAGTAGCTATTTTTTTTTAAGTTTAGGATACATGTGCATATTTGTTACATAGGTATATATGTGCCATGGTGGTTTGCTGCACCTATTGACCTGTCCTCTAAGTTCCCTCCAACAGGCCCTAGTTTGTGTGTTTTCCCCTCCCTGTGTCCATGTGTTCTCATTGTTCAACTTCCATTTATGAGTGAGAACATGTGGCATTTGGTTTTCTGTTCCTGTGTTAGTTTGCTGAGGTTGATGGCTTCCAGCTTCATCCATGTCCCTGCAAAGGACATAATCTCATTCCTTTTTATGTCTGCCTAGTATTCCATGCTGTATATGTACCGCATTTTCTTTATCTAGCCTATCATTGATGGGCATTTGGGTTGGTTCCATGACTTTGGTATTGTAAATAATGCTGCAGTAAACATACGTGTGCGTGTGTCTTTATAGTAAAATGATTTATAATTCTTTGGGTATATACCCAGTAATGGGATTGCTGGATCAAATTGTATTTCTGGTTCTAGATCCTTAAGAAATCGCCACACTGTCTTCCATAATG